ATGCATTTCTCTTTCTTTCTCCTGTAAGCAAGGCTGAGTGGGGTTTCTATCACTTGCAACCCACAGTCCTGAGCAGGCTCGGCCTGAGGTTGCTGCCTTTTCTCCTCTCCCTGGACATCCTAACCTGAATCCCTCACCCCTTCTTACCTGAAAGGACCCATTCTTCTCTGGGTTCTCACACTGGGTATGGTCTCTCCAAGGTCCCCACTGGCCATCACTGCCACACTGGCGGAGGACGAAGCCTGCAGCCACTGTGGGGAAACAGGGGAGGGAGGGGATCAGAGGCACAGAGAGACAGAGGAAGACAGAAAGACAAACTGCGAGACAAAGGCAGAGAGAGCCAAGGTGATGATTATGATGGTAATGATAAACCCTTATAAAGTTTACATATATTAAATAATTTAACATTCATACTGTCCTACAGACGGGAAAATTGAAGCACAAAGCAGTTAAACTGTCCAAGACTACGTAACTAGTTAGGCCAGGAAGACCCAGACATCCAGAGACAGACAGACTCAGGAAAAGGAGCGAAAATAAGAACGCCGTGGTCCCACAGAGAGAAACGGGGACAGAGAAGCAGCATTATTTGAGAAAGCCAAGGTTGGACAGGACGGAGAAACTCAGCCTGATAGAACGGAGCAGGGGACAAAGAGGAGCAGGAGAGGGGTGTAGGTGAGCTGCGGGGGGAGTGTCTGGGGACAAAAGTTAGGAACTGTTTTGTGTCTCGGGAGGACTTGGGGTCCAGGGAGCACCTCACCGTGGCGGTGCCAGGGCAGGTACCAGGGGCAGGACGCACGGGCAGTGGCGTTGGGTGCAGCAGAGTCCCAGCAGACGTACATATCGAAGGACCCGTTACAGGCGAGGCCTGCGGGTGTGCATGGGACCAGACGCCGGGTGGACCTACTGAGTCGCGGGCCCAGCGCCTCTCCACCTCTGACACGCTAGTCCTCCTCTAGCCCCGCCCACCAGGGGCGGGGCCCGCCCTGGCTCTGCCACGAGCTCCTCCCACCAGCCCTCAAGGTCCCCGCCCATCCGCTCCAGCCCCACTCTGGGCTCCTCCCACCGGCAGGTCCGAGCCCCTGATTCTTCCCGTCCAGAGAGGCTCTTTCCAGACTCCACCCCAAGCCCCGCCCCTTCATGGTCCTCTCCACTCAGGCCCCGCCCAGTCTTCTCCCATTTCCAGCTTCTTCTCAGTTCCACTAATCGTGGTCCTGTCCCAGTTCCTACCCCGCTCAGGTCTAGGCCCTTCCCACGGAGGCCAACCCCTCCAACCCCCAGGGGTCTCTCCGATCCAGGGCACATCAACCACAGATCCCTCCTCACTCAGGCCCCGCCCCCAGTCACAGGCCCCGCCCCCGACCGCCCCTCTCAGCCGCAGCCCCTCCCCGTCATCCCCCGCCCGCCTGGTCACACCTGAGGGCGGCTCCGCGGCCTCTAAGGTCTCCCGGCACTCCCTGCGGTACCGCTCCCAGCGCTGGTACAGCTCCCCGGCCGTGCGCCCCTCAGAGCCTGCCTGCGATAAGACAGAAGGGAGCACCCCCAGACCGACCCCCGCCCCCAGGCGGCTCGGTTCGTGTGGGCCAGAAACACCCCAGAGAGACTTCGAGGATCTGCCCCTTTTTGCTCGGGAGTCTTGCAAACCTCTTCGAAGTCTTGGGGGGTGCCTAGAAGCCACCAAGGGAGTTGCTGTGAGGGACTGAAAACGCTCAGGAACATTGGGGAGGGTGTGGCTGGAAGCCAGGAGGATTCGTGCGGGACAGAAGGACTGGGATATTCATTGAAACTTGAATCTGGGCACGCGGCGCAGTCTTAAAACTCTCTTTGCGGTGTGGGGAGACTTAAAACCGTCCCCAGACCTCCCTCCAAGCCTTGCACTCCTGCGGCCCCCGGAATCCTCACCTCCGCCCTCCGGAGCAGCAGCGGCAGCAGCAGCGACAGGAGCGGCGGCGGCAGCAGCCGCAGGGCCGGAGAGCTCGGCATCGTGGGGGCTGCGAAGGCTCTGGTCCCGCAGGGGCGGCAGGGCCTGGGGGGGTCCCAGGGCAGAGTCAGCATCAGCACCTCTGTCCTCCGCCCTGCGACTCCGACCCAACGCTCCCAATGCCCCCACGAGTGATGATTTGGGGCGAGGGGCAGAGGGGAGGTGTGAGGAGTGGGCGGGGCCTCCGGGGTGGGTGGGGCCGAGATCCGCTGCGTGCTCCGCCCCCACAGTTGTTGCTGGGGCAGCAGCGGTGGCGGGGGGGAGTGTTTGCTGAGCGGGCGGTTGCCCCAGAGCTTCGCAGGGCGGAGGCGTCAGTGTCACCAGGAGTCTAGACCTAGAGTGTCCGGGGAACCTGGTAACCGCCTTTGAGAGGAGGGAGCAGAAACCATCAGCCTAGCCGGGAGGGGAGCTTGAAACGCACATCTGAGTTCCCACTCTCCGAGCCCCAAGGGCTTTCAAAGTGCAAGTAGGATCCGGACCTTATAAAACTTTCCCCGCTGTAGATAAAGCCCAGAGTCAGTGGGACAACCCTCTCCCAGCATTCGAATATGTGGGGACTAGAGAGGCCCCAGATGCCCGGAAATTCATCGAAACCCCTACCCCACCCCACGCCCGTCGCCTCCGCATCATGTAGAGAAAGAGGGAAGCGGGAGCAGGGAGGGTCAGATCCAGCCCCAGAAGGACAGACACGGAGTCAGAGACACACGACACAGATGTACAGAGACTGAGCGACAGAACGAGACACACAGCAAGAGACCAGACAGCAAAGGGCAGAGAAAGACAGAGACAAAAATGCGGGCTGGGAGACGAAGAGGAGATGGCAACACAGAGATGGGGGAGAGAGAGATACAAGTGACCTAGCAGAGATCTCTAAACAGAGATTGAGACATGGGGACAGAGACACCAAGAGACAGACAGAGAGACGAGACTGTGGACATGAGCCCTCACCTGTCCCCAGTCCTGCTCGTGATCACTCGCTCCTGCTGCCCCTGCCTCCGCTGCCTCGCCTGGGCTCTGGGAGAGGTGACAGGCGCTCGCAGCCTGGGTGGTGGGAGGGGGCGGGGCCAGGGAGGGGCCGGGAACAGCCGGGGGGAGCAGGGGGCAGAGCCAGAGCAGAGCAAGGGGGCAGTCGTGTGACCATCACAGTCAGTCACTCGGGTGGGAGAGCAGTCACGGACGCCCCACCGAGTGTGCACGATCTCTCACACTGTCCCACCCGCAGCCCCCTGGTCACAGACGGCTCTGTCCCACCTAGCCACTCACACGCAGAGCCTCAGCCACTCAGTCATCCTCGCAGTGCCACACACACTCCCACACGCTGAGCCACAGACAGGCGCAGTCACGGGATCTCACACACTGCTACTCACAGAGTGACACGTTCAGTCACAGTCGCACAATCCCACGGTCACACCCGGACAGCCACGGTCTCTAACCCACAGGTTGACAGTCATCCACAGTGGCACACAGCCACATCCCCAGGGTCGTGGGCTCCTACACACACAGTAACACGATCGCAGCTTCCCACAGTCCCTGTAACACTATCAGTCACACACACAATCACTAGGTCACGTCACAAACACTGTCTCCCCCGCTGGCCTGTGTGCCCTGGGGAGGACAGAGCCAGGGCATCTCGGCCACCACTGGGTCGCTGGCATTGTCGAGATCACAGGCTTAAGGAATGATTGTCAATGAAAAACGTGTACACGGTGACGTGGTTGTTCCTGCAGTCACACAATCCTTCCATGACACAAGCTGAAAGTCGCACACAATGTTACGCCACCACACCCAGTAACACTCTTACACACTCACACACTTCGCGTATTCACCCAGAGTCCACAGTCACGTTCCAACAACACACATCCCCCAACTGTCCCTGAGTCACATTCTGTCACCCTCACTCGCACAGTCACCCAGTGACTGGTCATACAGACAACTCTCCCCACAGTCCCGTCCACACTCACAAGTTGCACACACTGGTACACATGTCGCACACACAATCCCATCTCCTACGGTCACACACAGTCACACAGGCGCGCACACCATCGTCCCACAGTCGCACACTGCACCGAAGCCTCGAGTGGTCTCATGGTCAGGCACACACACTCTTATGATCTCCGCTTCCAGGCTCTTCCTCTGCCCTAAATATGGGAACGTCTGTACGTGACCGGGAAGGCTTAGCACCCGGTCCCAGTTCCCAGCACCCTCGTCTCCCTTAACACAAACCATTGATTCACGCACATTAATCATACTATTAACATTCATGAGCACACGCTCCCCTGGGACTGAAAGATAAGTGGGACAGAGGCGAGTCTGCCCATTTTGCAGAGGAGAAATCGAGGCCCCAGGAGAGGCAGGGAGTAAGTGGTGGCATGAGGTCCCCAGCAGAGGCTGGAAGGGAACCAGCGGGGGAGCAGGGGTCCCAGCTTCCCGGCCTCTGGCTGGCCTCCCTGCTCTCTGCCCCACATTCCTGGCGCCCTCTGGGTCCTGGGAAAGGCTCGGTTCAAGGAATGGGGTGGGGAAGAGGTCTGAGGTTGCCGGGCACCTCTGGCAGAGGCTGGGGTTGGGAAGGAGTCTGTCCTTGGCCCCCAGAGGGCCTGGGGGTCATTCCCCTGAGGAAGGGAGGGAGAGGGAGGAGTGGGGAGGAGAGAGGCTGGCGAGCTGGGGCGGGAGAAGCAGGGGAGAGGAGTGAGGTGGTGGGAGACCGGAAAAGAAACCAAGGACCAAGAAGGAGAGAGGCCAACAGAGAAAGACAGGGAGGGAGAGAGAGAAGAGAGAGACAGAGGAGAAGAGAGAAACAGACCAAGAGAGACAGAGAGAAAGAAATAGAGAGAAATACACAGACAGACAAAGAGATATACAGATAAAGGGGAAGGGGGAGGGGAGGGGAGAGATAATAGATACAAACTGAGAGATGACAGGGACAGATTGAAAGATGGCAATGGGGGGCGGTGAAGGGAGGGAGAGGAGAGTGATGAATCCCCCCACCCCTCCCTCACACCCCCTCTAGGGGGACACAGAGGGTGGCCCTGGAGGACTGGAGGGGGGAGGCAGGGGCAGGTAGATGCCTGGGGTCCCTGCCTGGCCTCCTGCTGTGCCCCAGCCCTCCTGGGTCCTCTGCAGTCTCCCTGGGTCTAGGATGGATGGGGGCAGCTGGGCCATGGGGGTGGCCACATAGGCCCTCTCTAGCTGCCACGCTCAGGGCTTCTGGAAACTTCAGGCAGAGCAGCATCCTGCACCCTCCTCCTCCTCCACCTCCTCCTTCTCCACCTCCTCCTCCTCCTCCTCCTCCTCCTCCTTCTGGCTACCCAGCCCCTCCCTGGCAGCCAAATGCCATGCCCCTACCCCAGGGGACCCAGAAAGAGAGGAGCCTCATTCCCAGCCTTTCAATACTCTGGGGCTTGGATCTGCATTTCCCTTCTCTGTTCCTGTCTCTAAATTTAGCATGCTCGCTGCCCTCACCCCTCTTCTGCCTCTGCAAGTCTCTCCCTCCCTCTCACGCCCTTCCTCTCCCCCTGCCTTTCCCTCTCTGCTGTCTGTCTGTCTGTCTCTGTCCCGCCTTCTCTCTCTCTTTGATCAAATCTCTCCTTTCTCCTTTTCTCGAAGCCACACCCAATGTGTCTGTCTTTCCCCCTGCCTGTGGGGCGGTCTTTCCTCTCCCTGTTCCATTCTGCCTCTGTGCTCATTTCTGTTGGTCTCTTATCTTGGGTCAGTCTCTTTTTGTCTGTCTTTAAACTTTCTCCTTTCTCTCCTTTCTCTTTTACTGTCTTCCTTCTGGGAGTCTGTCTGTCTTGTTTCTGGATGTCAGTCTGTCTGCTTCCCTTTATGCATAGCCCCTGATTCCCGGTCTCCTGGAGCTTGTCCCCCAGTCCTCACGATAGCAATGACCAGGCAGTGCTCCTGCCCAGGGCACCATGGTGGGGAGGATGCTAGAAGGCCTGTGTCTCCCCCCATGGGGCTGCCTGGCCAAGCAGCGCCTGCGGGGAGCAGGCGGAGGCCTGGGGTGTCGGCAGATGGCGCGGGAGAAATGAGGCAGAGAGAGATGGGGAGAGGGGACGCCCTGTGGGGATTGAGGCCAAGAATGGGAGGCCCCCTGAGATTCACAGCTGCAGAAAGACAAAGAGAGACAGAGACAGAGACAGAGAGGAACTTGGAGGCCAGAGAGATAAGGACAGGGGTAGACTCTCTCAAAGACGCAATCAGACAGAGATGAGGCAGAGACACGCGGCTCCCCTAGGCCTCTTCCGGGCGGTGGGGGGTGGGGGTGGGGTTGCTGTCTCCATAGTGACCTCCCCAGATCCTGAGGGCAAATATTGTCCTGGCCAGAAGCAGGGCTGTGTTGACATAGTCTCATGCCGGGTTGGGGTGGGGGCTCCAGGGGCCCACAGGCCAGGATGAGGGGCGAGAGAGCAGAGGGGCTCTCAGCTGGGGCCCCAAGGACAGCTCCAGTTCCCCCCACCTCCAAATCCTGGAGCAAACATCCCATCCTGGGATGATCCACAGAGAGACTGGAAGCCGTAGGAGTCCCTGGCTGCCCCCTGGTGGTGGAAGGCGAGCCCTGAAGCCCTTTCCAAGCACAGGAGAGCGGGCTGGCCTAGGCATTTTCCTCCAGGCTGCTAGAACTTGGTCCTGTCCCCAACCTCAACCCCCAATAGCGCAGCCAGGCAGCCAGATGGTTCATGCTAGCGCACACACCTGATCCTGTCCCTCCGCTGCTCAGAAGCTGCCAAGGCCACCCAGTGCCCTCGGGAGAAAGCTCAGGCTCCCCTCCGTGGCTTTGAAGGTCCTCCCTGAGTTCCCCAGCCTTGCCTCCATGACTTCCTACCGCTTCAAGTCTTCCCAGCATCCCTTGCCTCTGTTCTAGCAGTTTGCTCTGCCTGACCGCCCCTCCTCACAATTTTTGTCAAGCCCATCCCAAAGTTAGCTTATTCATTCACTCAACAAACAGATCCTAGTTTTTTTCCCCTCTTGGACTACAAGCCCTGTGCGGGCAGGGCTGGGGCTGTCACAGTCACAGCTGTGTCCCCAGCAATGCCCAACACTGGTTCAGCAGAGATCAGGGCTCAATTCATTTTACTGTCATGTAGCAGGCGATGACCTTGGCAATGGGGGAAACGCTGGTGACTGGCACAGACGGCTCTCGCTCTGGCTTCATGAAGCTCCCAGCTCAAGCATAGACGCATAGGAGACAGACTGACAGAAGGAGAGGTAGGAAGAGAAACAAAGAAAGAAAGTCAGAAAGACAGTGGGGGTGGGGGTGGGGAAGCGAGGTGGAGAGAAAACCAGAGTCAGAGGTAAATATCAGTAATAACATTAATAATAATGGGGCCGGGCGCGGTGGCTCACGCGTGTAATCCTAGCTCTCTGGGAGGCCGAGGCGGGCGGATCGTTTGAGCTCAGGAGTTCGAGACCAGCCTGAGCAAGAGCGAGACCCCATCTCTACTAAATAGAAAAATTAGCCAGGCACGGTGGCTCGTGCCTGTAGCCCAGCTACTCGGGAGGCTGAGGCAGGAGGATCGCTTGAGTCCAAGAGTCTGAGGTTACTGTGAGCTAGGATAATGCCACGGCACTCTAGCCCGGGCAACACAGTGAGACTCTGTCTCAAAAAAAACAAAAACAAAAACAAAAAAACATTAATAATAGTGGGTACCAGATACTGGGCATTTTACATGTATTTATCTCACTCACTCCTCATAACAGACCTGTAGCAGAGGTATTATCCCCATTTTCCAGATGAGGAAACTGAGGCTCAGAGAGGGGTAGTAACTTGCCCAAGGTGACATCACTCAAAGCGATGAAGCAAGGACCCAGGATGTCCAACTTTGAAATCCATTTTCCAGACAGACAGAGACAGGGATGAGACAGAAAGATGAAGGGAGAAAGAAACGTGGAGGCAGAGAGAAGAGACAAAGACAGCCGGTGAGCCCTGTCTGCCCCACCCCTTTCCTCCAGCGGAGCCGCCCCCTCCCCACTCCTGTCTTTCAGGCCCCTGACATCTCC